CACGAACGCAAGATATCTAAAGAGTGGTTCGTAGGGCTAATTCTTTGGACACCAGGGAGTCAGTGACATGTAACGACTCCGCCATGCGCCCGGAGAACATCAATGTCTTGCCTGTAGCAACAAAAGACACGAAGAGAGAGGGAATGCTCAAAAAAAGGTGTATCCTGCAGGCGGATAACAACGGGTCTATACAGAGACATTATCAGCTTTAATTCGTCTAAACGAGTGCCTCGCTGTTGTTTTGCCGTCTTGGCCAGAAAATTAATGCCCGAGATCTACAGGGTTCTTCACTAGATATCGGCGTTTCACCTCCTGAAAGAGACTTTCTCCGTCACTCTGATCTTTTGGATTTCCATCTCCCTCAGAAATGAAGGACACCTATTCGAGTTGGCCGCATGGTCTCCTTTACAATTAACACAGCGAAGTGGGGAGACACAGGGATCCGTATCGTACATAGATATGCCTCACTTTGCGCAAACAGAGTTTATGGTCATGCACCGTTGTTGAGTATGGCCAAACCTCTGACGCTTTCAGAAACGCAGGGTGCTTGACGCATACTGCTGCACGTGGAGATAATAAAATCCACAGCTAATCCTCTCTGGGAAAGAGCAGAGATTAAACGACAGGATAAGAGTGGGAGTAGGGATCTCTCTCTTATTCTCCTTCCCATTGATTCTAAAAACCTCCGTTACGGCCTGATTCTTAAAGAAAGGCAGAAGCTCCTCCTCACTTACGAACGTAAAGTCATCGTGATTCACCACTCCTTTACTTTGGTTAAAGGTAAGGTGAGTGGTCACTTCCACATGGAGGCCAGCTTACTTTTTTCGATTTCTCATCTGTGGGTGCTTAGAAGAGAATGGTACCATTTCTCTGACGCACCGCCGCTTGGAGCTTAAAGAAACTGTCCTCAATGGCTCGCGTGATACGAACCGCAATAATACTTTTGAATGTTTTCCCTTCGTCAGTGCACACCATCAAGAGGAAACTTTCCTTCATTGGTGTATCTTCTTCCCTAAGGAAACTCTACTCAAATCCACCGTTCTCCCACAGCGCCTCTTCCTTCCGGAAGAGAGCAAGAGGCTTGTTTTATTCTCACTACAATTCAAGCGGATTCGTCTACGTGCTCCCGGCCCACTATGGAGTCCAACAAGGAGACGCCCAACTGGGGTGCCAGGGTTGAAACGATGATATAGAGGGAAGTGTCACAGCGCTGTCCCGCCGAAGATGCCCCCGCTCACTCTACAGTTCAGATACTTAGTCCGAGCCGATTGATCGGGAGTGGGTTAGCCCCGAGCAGCCACCTACAAGTCGAGTCCGAGGCCTAGAGTCGATAGGTCCAGAGTGGGAGTAGGGAGGCCACCCGTCTAGAGTCCGATGCAAAAGCAAGTGTGTTGAAAACCTACAAGGAATGCTTCCTAAATAACGTAAATAATGTAACCCTACGTGCAGAGCCGAGAGGAGTCCAAGGAGTAGTTGGGACACAAACAGGTCCTTCAACTGCCTCCGACACGGGTCGCCATTCCCTGCAAACACATGGGTGGGCGTTCATCATACGGCGGAGCCAATGAAATAGAAGGGGGAGAAGAAAAGAGACGGTGTTATCAAAGAACGAGAATGAACGATGGAGGTGATAAAGATGACTGGTGAAAGGAATACTTGAGAGCCCTCCCTGCATGCCCCAGCCAGGACGTGGACCGACCCACCTAGACAGGGTAGCCACGGAGATTGTACATTCTTTACGTATTTCGAGGGAAGGATGTGTGTTTGTTTTATTGTGAAGCGAGCTTTAGCATCAGTGCAGTCACGTTTTTCAGATTTGTAGTAGTAGTTGGTGAAATAAAAATTCCACGGCGAAAGACTATCGATAGAAGAACGTTTCGTGGAAGAACGTTTCGTGGAAATCAGTTCACTCGAAAAAATAAAGAAAGCATTTTGGTGACACCAAGTACTCCAGTAGTGAAAAACATTTCGTGCCAGTACACAAAGTGGATCCAGTCGACTATCACGCAAGAAACTTGTGTATTTGAAAAACGAATGACAATTTTCGTGTGGAAAGTACTAGTAGTGAATTTATAATTATAGATGTCAGTGTATTATCACAATTATGGAAGACATCAGTTAAATACAAGACTTGTGATGGTACTGCATCCCTTTCTTCTTTTTTTTTTTAAATTGTTGCCCGAAAAGATTTGACTACAAAAATGTGCATCATGTGTTCAAAGTGCCAAGTCAAAAGCAATGCCGTGACTTCAAAAAAACAGAAGGATATGAAGTCAATCTAAGACTTTGTTCGGTATAGGTGTATAGGCAAAGGAAGACACTTTTTGTGGGATTATGACTCTTCCTCCACCTTTCACAAATTTTGTATTTTACACGAACATTGTATTATCAGCTGTAGAAAAGGTTATAAAAAAATCAAAGGTAAATGCAGTGTACGAATCTGTTGCATTGAATGACATTGTGATATTACTGCAACTTTTGATGAGCGTGGCACAAAGGGAGCCAAACATCATTGAACTGCCACCTTTTTCTATCACAAGTGAAGTGATGGATGTAGAATGTCTTTCTAAATATTGTCATGTGTGTGTGCAACAAGCAAGAATGATCATCGTTGTTTAAAGAATTACCAAGGCTATAGTGGGGGAATGGAAAGTGAAGGTGATTTAAAAATTTTTCAAAGGTCATTGGAGAAAAGGGGTATGAGGTACATAAAATACTTGGGTGATGGGGATCCAAAAGCTTTCCAAAAAGTGAAAGAAGCAAATGTTTCTGGGAGAAGTGAAGTAAAAAAATTGGAGAGTTGTGGTCATGTACAAAAAAATGGGTGAAAGACTAAGGAAACTTAGAAATGATCACAAAGGGGAAAAAATGGAAGATAGAAAACCCTTATACGGGAAGGGTCGATTGACATATGCCCAAATAAATATGTTGCAGTGATATTATGGTAAGCCCATAAACAGAAATGCTGGCACTCACAAAGTAAAGCTTACGAAAAAGAAAGTGTGGGTTACCTTCTTTCTCTTCTACATGGACTGTGCTCAGAGGGAGAAGAATCATGGTGCCGGTTCAAAAATTGTATAATTACTGTAGAGTCTAATGACCATAAAAGCTCCCTGCCAAAAGCTGTAATGACAGCAATTACGCCTATTTATAGAGAAGTAAGAAAAACCTTCCGGCCAAGTCTCCATAGCCGAACGCAAAACCCAAATGAGAGCTTCTACCACTGCATTTTGGGAAAGAGTTCCAAAAACTGTTTTTGTTGGATTAAAAGTATTAAAAGTCGGTGTATTTAATGCAATGATATGTTTTAATGATTGATGTCATGACATAAGAAACGTTTTTAAACAACTTGGAAATTAAACCAGGACAGAATACCACATAATCACTTCAGCTAAATGAAACATTGCGATTGCAGAATTGGGGGCTGAGAGCAGATCCAAACACGTAAGAATGAAAAGGATTGATGTTAAGGCTAAATGCACCGAAAAATACTTGTAGGAAAATTCAATAGATCGCAGCACTATCACAGGGGAATTTACTTTACCGATAACGTCTGAACCAATGACCCGATTTTCGATTTGTAAGCGGCATTTGACGCCTTTTAAAATAGAATTTACGCTACGAAGACCTTTTTACAAAAATCTAGCAAACACTCGAATTTGAAATTAGTTCTCAACTTCCGAGAAAAATATAAAAATGTGGGGTTATAGCGCGATGGCGACATGCTTCCTGAATCCAACGCCGTGACATTCATGCAAATCGGACGAATAGGAGCGTCGTAAAGTGAAATTTACGAAAACACCTCGCCCCCCCCCTTCCCCTTCTGCGCCGTTGCGTCACCCCGCCCGTTTCCTGTGGGCCCTCAGTCGGCGCGGCGGTACGGCCAGGCCCGGCGGCGTGCGGCCAGCCCCGGCGGAGGAGGCGGAACTTGCGGAATACGCAAACCAGACAGTAGGTTTATGCTTTCGTCACTTTGCATCACAATCTATTTTTTCACAGATACCAAACTAGAGATGTCATACTACTATTACAGACCGAGGTAAATATACCTGTTGTAATAGTAGTTCATAACTTTTTCACATATTTCCGTCTTTCTTCGCATATCTTAAAATTGTTTGAGGCATTACTGAAAATAACGATTCCGGCTTGGAACTGGTTTTTAAAAAAATGAACTATTTCTGTAAATATCACCATTATTCCATCTCCCCACATCTTATTTTAGATATATTTTACTTCCAAGGTCTTCCGCCTTGCTCTAAGATTTTCAGGGTTCAAATACCGGAAAGAATGTACGGAGTATACGCAGGATCTCTTTTATCCTACAACTCGATTTTTGATCTCAAAACGATGTTTATCTGCTTTAAAGAGTTCATCTTGTTAATCTCTTTTCCCAAGTAAAATAGCCGAAGCTAATTTTAAAAATGTTTTCGTACTTTCGGACAAATTTTAAAAAGTGCATGATCTTGGCTGTCCGGGTGACGTCACGTCGAAGGCTGTGTTGCCGACGTTTCGACCATTTTGTTGTGATCTTCAGGGCTGATGTGCTCATACATACAGGGCTGGTACGCCCATGGCAGCCCTGAAGAAGACCACGACAAGATGGTCGAAACATCGGCAACACAGCTTCGACGTGGCGTCACCCGGACAGCCAAGATCATGCACATGACTGGCCGCGGAAGCCTACGAGTTCAAATTTAAAAAAGGTGGTAAAACAGCGGGCTGGCGAGGTGCATTCTGACTCCAACGCCGTAACAAGCATCGAATTAAGATATTATGAATCATGACTTATCCCAGCTTACTTGGTAAGTTATTTTGATATAAAATAAATGTTATATTTGTATAATTTTGAAGCGAATAAATAATTTCTGGTGCGTCATTTCGTACAAACTACATAAATGAATAAAGGGTAATGATGCAATTGGACCACACCTAGATGTTTGCTTGCATTTGGAGCGTGTTTTCTCTTCCATTTTCTTTGTTTTATAAAAAGTGGATTTTCTAGAAAAAGTTATCTGTAGAAATTACAGTATGCAAAACCAGTTGCACGTGACTCTTTCGTGACGTATCGGCCACAATGATATAAATAATATGGAACATTCAAACGAGTTTAAAAAACAAGGAAATCTTTTTCTGTGAGTATGATCTTAGGATATGCTTTACGCTAACGCTTACGCGACGTAATGTAATCTACACAACTTTCCAGAGGAGATAGAAAATGGGGTTTCTTTCAATGTGAATTGTGTTTGAAAATCTTAAGAAAGTATAGGCTTACATCAATAACATTTTTAAATATTTTTTTTCCGACGGATGACTTTTGCAGATTGACTCAATCACACGGTATTCATGCAATGGTGGTGTTATTTGCACAATCTCTTAGGTAATGGAATAATTATAGTACGTTGCGAATCTGTTCACTATTTCTTTTCCAGATCCATTTCGCCAAGATTTCTTCTCCTGTAGCTTTGCATAGTTCGATTTGAGTATTATCTACAGCCGGGGACTTCCCATTTTTCAGTGGTTTTGTCGCCCAATGCGTTTCTTCTATCTTTGGCTCTTTTTCGTAATCATCTATATTTATCCACAACTCTATTTGTAAGTTCTTCTCATATAACTTTTTCGTGTATTCTTCCCATCTTTCCGTGATCTCTTCTTTTGTTGTATTTATTTTGTCGTTCTCGTTCTTAACATTCGTCATTGTTGGTTACACTCCGTGATCATATTTCGGATGACCTGGAAATTTTCTTAAGATCTCCATTTGTTGTTATGTTCTTCCACTTCTTCGCTTTTTTCTTGAATAAATTTTTCTTTATCTTATCTTGGTCTGGGCTGGAATACCCTATAGAGTTTTCTGATTTTCGTCTGGTCATTTGCTTTCTTTGCAGAGAATCATGTCTGAAAAGAAAGAAATATAAGGACTCCGTTGTACATAATATTAATATTATTATTATTATTAATAATAATAATAATAATAATAATAATAATAATAATAATAATAATAATAATAATAATAATAATAATAATAGTCATGCGTTTAAAGTAAAAACCAAAGTATGTATAATATAGTATTGCTAATATCGTAACCATCGAATCTTCTTTTCGGTGTCTGAGTTTTCAAGATTTTGTGAAACCTTTTTCTTCATATTTCACGGAGAAAATCTTGGATTTTCTCTGCGAGACTGATTCAGTCTGTCCATTGTGAAAACTATTGAGCAGGTTGTTGCTCCGAATGCATCGGGCGGTCGTTCTTTCATCGCCACCAGCAGCGAAGGACTAGGGCAGGGACTAGGGCACGAACGAGCCTGGACTCGAATAAAGTGGCCGTGGGGGAGGGGCCCCGGGATTTCCAAGTCCGATATGGCACCGGAACAGTAATTCGCAAATAGACAACGTGGAGAATGCTCACACCAAGTTCACTGATCGACTCGCTTACTCGGTGCCCTTCTCCGCTTTACACTTCCTGCTCCACGTCCACGTGTCTACTGCGTCTGTTCATTCACTAGCCACCTCATTCTTATAGTTAGGAGCTGACTTGATTGCGAGGCTGAGGAATGCGTTCGGTGTTCTTGGAAGCTGCCCTTCCCCCGCCTAATCTGCAACTACTAGCTGTCACAAATATATTACGCCAAGTATCCATAGACAAAAATGAAAACATCATACGAAAATAAGGAAAATAAATAAGCAATAAGTGAATACCATCAATGTGGAATTTTTTTTATCTTCACAATATGGCCTTTTCTTACGGGAGTACTTAAGGCTGCCCCGCCTGCTTCAAATACTTCTTTTTTAATTGATATCACAGTTCGTAAAGATACTTCAGTATAGATTACTTCCCGAAAATTGCTGTTATGCAGCGTGTGATGAAGAACGCCCGAATTCTTTTCTTTGTCACATTTCTTAATAACGAGAAGTATATTTTCCCTAGCTTAACTGTGTATTGTTTGGCCTTTACAACGAACAGAAGCTATACCGTCCCACCATAAGTCAGAAACCAAATTAAAGTGAATACGCTATACACTTGTGTTACGAACAAGAAGCAAACAACGTGTTACTCATTGAGTTCATGACTTCTCAGAACAAGAAACATCTATATCAGATGAAGTGATATTGAACCTCATTCAATGTTGTCAAAGAAGTCATACTATTTCCTCGACTGCTCGCGTAGGCGGCAAATTGCAAAACACGTCAATATGCCGAATACTTACACTGTAGGTCTTATATGTATATTAAAGTCAATGTGAGTAATTCTGACAGGAAAAAACAATGTTGAACTTCATCATGGAAAAAAATGAATGAAGCTTTTCATCATGGAAAAATATCCACATCACGTGATAATAAAGAAACTTTTGTTACTGTTGGTTTCTGCAATTGGAAGAAGGGTAATGAAAAATGAAAATTCATGCATCTAGTCAGCATCACAGCTCTAGTTTAAACTATATTCATCATTTAAAGCATGGAAATCGAATAAATCTACTTTTAGATACTAATTTACGAAAAGAGCAAGAAGATGTCCGTACATATTTACGTATAATAATTATTTCAATTCGTTATCTCGCCCGCTGTGGTCAAGCACTAAGAGGAAACGATAACGACGGAGGTAATCTTATTCCATTATTAGAAGATCGCAAGATTAAGTAGAACTTGACTCATGGTTAAAACGAAGAGGTAAACGACTTTGTGGATATATACAAAATAAAATAATATAGATTATGTCTCATACTTTAATGCAAAAATGGTTAAGGAAATCAAGAAAAGCCCTTTTCTATTATGGCCGATGGAAAAACAGATTCGACTGGCTGTGAACAGTTCTCTACTTGTTTACGTGTTGTAGACCGTGTAGATTTCAAAATAAAGGAGTTTTTCTTGGGTCTTTGTTGTCTTCCTGATTCTAAAGCAGAGACTCTTTACAATACAATCGACGATCTTTTAATTCGATTAAATATACTGCAATGAGCAATGCTCATTGCACAGCGCGACCCTCGAGTCACGCTGATTTATAATACTTCGAGGCAAAGAGTGCCTCTTTCGCGCATTCGACCCACACAGCTGCACGCGTGCCGATTACCCTGCTCGTAACCACCCCCGAAAGGAACTTTCACCCCTTTGTGCAACAGTGGGTGATGGACAGGCAGAACAGTTGCATTAAGAGGCGACAGCAGCCCACTGTAAATCAAGGAATGCCTATGGAAAACTTCGCATGTAACTTTCCGTTAAGTTTTGCGACGGGATAGGTCGGCAAATCTTGCGAGAGGGGTGGGGTGGAAATCGCAGAGGCAAAAGGGCGCTGGAAGTCTGGACAGATGGAAATAGACAGTCGAAGTGAGCGGTCGGCTCGGAGAATTTGCTAGTAATTTTAAGGGGCGATTAACGCCGCACGAGAAACTGTTAATAATCTCGAGCCAGTAATTTCGATAATTCCAGCATCGGAATTTATTCTGAAATGCCGGACTTCTTCTTTGGTCCTATCTTCCATATACGGAAGTTAGGTGACCCATAACCGGTTTTCTGGGATAAATTATTCAGGGTGGCTTCCCGTTGCCTTCCCTGATATGATTGATAGGGGTGAAAGGACGAACACAAACAACCATGCCCGAGGCGGGACTCGAACCCGCGATCTTTCGGTACGAGATCGCGTACGGCACTACTGCCTTAGCGATCTCGGCCACCGGATCGGCAATGCCGGGACTAGAACACAATTTAAATAACACCCTTCACGTATACGAGGGGGTGTGCGCATTGTTTCTCGGCTGCTAAACACTACGGCGGTCCAGGCGACGTTTGACGACCTGGTGGACCCGCGCAACCGGAACGTTGGCTGCTCAAACTCCCCGCGTTCTCTGCATCAACCAGGCCGGCAGCGTTCCTGCTGGCTACCGGAGAAGTCCGCGGCCATTCGGCGGTCCCATCTGCAGCCACTGACTGCCCAGTTGAGTGTTGTAATCCTTTTCGGAGTGAAGTATCTAAATTCAGCCATCACATCGCACTGTAAGGTTTCCTGTATATTCAATCTAACCGTTAATGTAAAGAAGAATCAACACGAATAATTAAAAGTGTCCCCGTCGTTTTAGTCGGGTGATTTTACTTGGAAAATGTGTATTATTTAAGTAATTAGTAATGCAACCTCCGACCCAGGGTCGCCCACTCCTGTTGATAGTCTCCGACGCCGGGCCAGAAACTTATTCGTCGCACCTTAGTGTGCGGCACCCCTATTGTTTAGTGCGACTCACGTGCGACACGAATATTCACAGTCAGCGTGGTTCATTACCATATACATATGAGAAGGGTCATTGTTTTGATGGCGCTGCAACAGTCTGGTCATCGATAAGTGGAGTTACAAAAGCGCCTTTCAGCCAAAAGAACCTAGTCAAGTGGTGTACTGTAACGGTACGGACGCCGGGAATTCAACTCGCGTATCTATCAATAAAATCGGGCATCCAGCGCGTCACAAGAGCCATCTGAGAAAGGCGATTGACCTGACGCCGCGCACCTTCCTATGCCAATTTGAGCGACGGGTCATTTATGGCCCACCGCAGTCACTTCGCCGCCGCGGAGGGACCCTTGTCGCAACAGCCCCGCCGCCCAGGCACTCGAGACGGTTTGCTCCCCCCCCCCACGAGACTGCGCGTGGAGCCGGTCCGAAACACAGATGTCACAACCACAACGAACTTTCGGGCGTCATGCAGCTTCGCAATTGGGGGTCACCACCGACTATTCTCATCGGAGAGAGTGGAGCGAGAGAGAGGGAGAGGAGAGGGAGAGAGAGAAAGAGGGAGAGAGGGGGAGAGACGGGAGGGAGAGAGAGAAAAGGGACGGAGGAGAGAGGGGAGGGGAGAAGGGTAGCATGGTGAGAGGGGAGAAGGGAGGGGAGAGGAGGGGAGGGGGAGAGAGAGGGAGAGAGAGAGAGAGAGAACGAGACGTGTGCGGCCACGCTGGAGTAGGGCCGTGGGAATCTGCAGCGGTCTGGAGAGGCCCGCCCTGCCGCCGGTCAACAACCCCACCAGCTGGACGTGATATACTGCCATGCCAACAACAACCAGTATAATCATTAGCTTTGCTCCCGCTAAAATGCGGAAGAATAATGAATGAGTGAAGCTAAGGAAAAGATACCATCAGCATCAATATTCATGGCGACTTATTAATTGATTAAGTTTTTGTATCGAGCCAACCATTGAATTTAATTCTAAATAAAAAGGTCGCACGTGTATAAGTTGTAGAATGTCATGTAAATCATCCATTACTCATCATCATTCTATATATTAAATGTTTTATTATGTTAAGGTTAAATGTATTAGTAGAAACCTCATTCCCGCTCCAGAAACCACGGCAGGGAAACAGTACATTGTGCCAATCATTCCCTCGATTTGGTAATTCAAGAAGTAGCAAAAAGATGTAACTTCATTGCAGACAGCTTAATATTTGTGAAAGTTGTTTCTAATGGAATATTGTAATCATCTACGCGGAAAACATCTACAGCGGAATTGTTTTGCCACTATTTACTGAAGACAGTATTGCTCGACTGCTCCCCTTTGTCCGACTCGACGGTGCATTCGGGTTAAATCAATGAAAAGATTTGTTAATAATTATTTGCGAGTCATGGAGACATTAAAAATTATATTGTGACGAATCGTGTGCACTCAGCTTTGACAGACTATCTGTTTTGAGGGTATCTTAGATGTATGGGTAAAATTGAAACGTTGCTATCACTAAAACTGGCTATATTAGTTTGTGAACCAGCTGAAATGTTGGCTAAAACACTTTAGAGTGAAGACTACACAGCAACTGGTGCAAAGCAAGCTGCTCAAAAGCTGTGGAATACATACAACAGCATGGGTGAAGCTGACTACAAAGAAGTATGGAATGATTGTGAGAAGGTATCAAACGACTGTCTACATCTTAAAATACCACACCCTCCAAAATTAAGGATGCCTCCAAAAAGGTTCCAGCAAGGAAGCACTCCGGCTCAAAAAGATGCAAATACTTCTCTTCTCTATGGCAAAAGTATATTCATATAATTCACTGGTTAAAAAATGACTTAGATCGAAGGTTTGAGCAACCAGGCTTGAATCAGCTTATAAAATTAGAAAAAGTACTTTTAAACTACACTTCATCTGAAGAATGTTTAGAAGATTCTTTAAATACTCACAGACTGGATTTCGATGTTGCAACTGTGCACTGCATGCACAGTTGAATTACTGCCTACTGTCATAAAAAATTCTAATAACGTTAAACAATTTGCAAGAATTAACGAGGCAAATTGCTTTAGATGAAGTTTTAGAAGAATTTATATCACGAACACAGGAACAAAAAAAAGTATTTGGCTTTAAAATCTAAGTAATATATATCAAATATAATGTAAATTAAATTGCTATAATATATATCTATAGCAAAGTCCCTGGGTCTCCAATCTTTGGAGTACGCAGATGGCAACCGTGGGATCTCGAGCTGAGCCTGACATTGCTTAAACTTACTTGTGTCAGGCTCCTTCTATGTTCTATCCTATCGGCCTCCCTTGGCCAACTCTTGCTTTTTCGACCCCGGCGGTATTAGGTTTCGAGGCCTGAGGGTGTTATTCAGTTTCATTCTTCCTCACAGATTCATAACACCATCCTCCATCTCTCATTATCACCTTTCTGAATAACATTCAGAATTGTAACTCGAGGATTTATCCTCACCTCAAGGTGACACCTTCAACAGTCGACCATGAACAGTCTTTTGAACAAGAATTCCACTGACTGCAACCGTGTGTTGCAGAAAAGACAGCATTCGGATTCGGTGGGCAGTCATTCAGAAGATTATGACGAATCGGAGCGTCTGGAAACCCTACAGCCAGCTCAAACACGAAAATGTCAAAAAATCAGACCTAAACAAGTCTCATTCTTTGCAACACACAATGTTAACTCCCTACACCAAATTGGAAAATTGAAGATTGTCACTGACATCCTGAAGAAGCATAAAATTCTAATCATGGCCCTTCAAGAAATTAGAAACAGTGATCAAGACCCTTTAGAATCACAAGGATACCGACTGTACAAAGGAATTCCTGGAAAATGAGTCATGAAAAATTGCCCACAATTTGGTAACGGATTTCTGATAGATCTCAAAATCATTGACTAAGTCATAGAATTTAAATCTCAATCCCCCAGACTTGCAACTCTAACTTTGAAATCTGCAAATAAGACCTACACAATTATCAATGTACATGCTCCCACTAATCAGAAAAATAATACCATAAAGGACAGAGAAGAAACACAAAAATTCTGGGATCTTCTGGATCAAACCTTAATCAACATCTCTCCATCAACCATCAAAATTCTTCTTGGCGATTTCAACGCGCAACTGGGGCAAGAAAGAAGATACCGAGATATCATTGGAAAATAGCCAGCTCATAAGCGAACCAACAAAAACGGTCAAAGATTGGTTGAAATTTGCAGAAATCACAACCTTATCTCAAAATCAACATGTTTTAAAAGGAAACCCCACAAATTAAAAACCTGGAAACATCCTGACTTCAGAAAGGGTGAATGGCAACTGGACCATGTGTGCATGGATAAATTTCACCATCGCGAAATCTACAA